CCCCCCCCCCCCCCCCGCTATATATATTTCCCCACTATTTTATTCATACTTTCAAAGTATTTTTTCTCTAATTTTATTGGTATTGTTTGGAATAGGTATAGCAATCTTGGTAGTATATTAACTTTACTACTGTTATTCTTCCCATCAATGATAAGTGTAGGTTTTTCCATCTTTCCAGATCTATCTCTATTTATTTTCTCACCTTATAATAGTTATCCTCCTTCAGTGTTACACACCTTGATGTCAATTGAATACCCAAATATTTCACTTTTTCCACCACCTGTATGTCCAGTTTCCCCATCAACTCTCTTTTCTGTTTTCCTGTCATTTTTCACCAGAATTTTTCTTTCATTTTTATTAATCTTCAAGCCCACTACGTCTCCATATTTTTCTATTATTTCAGCTAGTTTTGGCCCTGTTTCTATTGGATCTTCCATAATAAACACCAAATCATCTGCGAATGCTTGTAATTTATATTCTTCTTTCTTTACCCTCATCACTACAAAGGATGTTTGATTCATCTTCAAGAATGTTTTCCTTCCAAACATTTGGATTCTTAATTGTGTTTTATGATTATTTTTACTGTGTATCACTCAGAGTCAGAGTTACGGAGTTAGGCATTGTTATAAATGGAATGGAACAGAATGGAGGAGAAAAATAGGAGAATAGAACTGAATATAATAGAGATGCCTTTGAAGAGATAGGCAACATACAACTTTGATAAAGAAGAATAGAATATAGTAGAATAGAATAGAATATGGAACATAGGAGAACAGAATAGAAAAGAACATAGACTATAGAACAAAATAGAACTTAGAACAGAACAGAAGGGAATAGGAGGTAGTCCTCAATTTGTGACTGGCCACTTAGCAATTTTTCACATTTACAACAATTTCCAGCATCCCAAGGGCAAATGATAGCGATCCGTGGTGATTTTGCAGAGAACTGGCATTTACTTCTGGTTTCTAGCATGGCTGGCTGCGGAATTCTGGGAGTTGAAGTCCACCCATCTTAAAGTGGCCAAGTTTGAGAAACAGTGTCCTAGGTGAATGGTATCCAGCCTGAGCTTGAACACATTCAGTGTGTGTGTGTGTGTGTGTGTTGTGTCAAACTGCTCTTAATATTAGGAGGAGGAGGAGGAGCCGCTGCCTTCCCATTTCGGCCCCCTTCTGTGCCATTTTTCCTCAGTGGTCCGAGTGTCGTGTGTCCTCCTGAGTCCTTTGTGTCCTTCAGATCTGTGTCCAGCTACTAAGTTTTCTTTCTCCTCTGTTTCTTCTCTCCTCCCAAAGGTTGCAAAATCAAAGCTCTGAGAGCGAAGACCAACACTTACATCAAGACCCCCGTCCGTGGCGAAGAGCCCGTCTTCATGGTGACGGGGCGACGGGAGGACGTCGCCATGGCCAGGAGGGAGATCATTTCGGCCGCTGAGCATTTCTCCATGATCCGTGCTTCCCGCAACAAGGCCGGCCCCGCCTTTGGCAGCGCCCCCACCTTGCCCGGCCAGGTCACCATCCGGGTCCGGGTCCCCTACCGTGTGGTGGGCTTAGTTGTGGGCCCCAAAGGAGCCACCATCAAGCGGATCCAGCAGCAGACCAACACCTACATCATCACGCCCAGCCGCGACCGAGACCCCGTCTTTGAGATCACGGGGGCCCCCGGCAACGTGGAGCGAGCCCGGGAGGAAATTGAAACCCACATCGCTGTCCGAACAGGCAAAATCCTAGAGTACAACAACGAGAACGACTTCCTGTCCAGCAGTCCTGACTCAGGCATGGAAAACCGCTACTCGGAGGCCTGGCGGGTCCACACTCCAGCCCCGGGCTGCAAACCCCTCTCTACCTTCCGCCAGAACAGCCTGGGGTGCATCGGCGACTGCTCCTTGGACCCTGCCTACGAGACGCCCCGGCTGAACGACCAAAATGATTTCAATTACAGTTACCTCTTCCCTAACTACGGGGTCAACAAGCAAGATCTATATTACGGGGTCCCTGAGTCGGGAGCCCCGCTGTGGGCTGGCCAGGAAAACACCAACCCAGTTTCCGTGCTCTTCTCCAAACAGCGCTCAGGCAACGCCAGCACCCTCCACCCCAATTCGCACCGCTCCCCCTCGTCATCCATCCAAGAGCCCCCCCTCTCCGGGCTTCCGAGGCGGTCTCAGGGGGAGCCCCTGCAAGGGTTCTCCAAGTTGGGTGCTTCCGCGACCAGCCGGACATCCCTCTCAAGCAGCCGGGAGTGCATGGTGTGCTTCGAAAGCGAGGTAACGGCGGCCCTGGTTCCCTGCGGCCACAACCTCTTCTGCATGGAGTGTGCCGTGCGGATCTGCGAGCGGACCGACCCCGAGTGTCCCGTCTGCCACGCGGCAGCGACTCAGGCCATTAGGATATTTTCTTAAAACCAGCAGCAGCCGTGGAAACCCTGACGAGCAGGAAGAGAGGCGAGGGAGAGAGAAGACGAATGGGAGGAGACATCTGAACAAACACGGGAGAGAAATGGACATTAATTTAAAGAGGGAAGAAACTATTTTAGGAGCAATGTATGTTATTTTTAACAAAAATAATGATAGTGGCGACGATGATGATGATGAAGATGACGGATACGATTTAACTGGAGAACCTATAAATATTTGGGCAGGAGATATGATAACGCAGCGGTTGGCGGTGCTGATTTTTGGTGGTGAATTCTTTCTCAAGATGGTCTGGGGGGGGCTGGAGGGCAAGCTGACCGTCCGGTGGATCTGTGGTGCCTCCTGGTGACCGAGAAACTTCTCCTTGGGGGCAGCAGCTGCTCCTCTTCGCCCCAACAACCCAGATCTGGTGGCGCTCACAACATGACAACAGCTTTGGGAAGAAGAACTGAACCAGAAGGACAGGAGGAAGGAATAAAGGAGAGAGGAGCCTCTGGGGAGCTGATCAAACGAGGGCACAACTGCATTACCTCAACATATAGAAAGAAAGAAAAAAAGAAGCAGCTAAAGACCTTTATATTCTGTTTCCTGTATTTTTTTTCTAAGAAAAAAAGTTTAATGAAAATGAATCATATTTGGGCCAGGGAAACGAGGGGTCGGAAGAAGCCCTGGGTGAATTCCTCCTGGCTGCTCTTTAACCTTTTCATTTGGAGTCTTCTGAGCCACCGCAAAGGGTTTTGAACACTGATCTTTCGTTTTCTATTCCAGCAGGGATTCATCTAATAAGAATCAGGAGTCACTAACAGGGTATTTCCAAAAAAAAAGAACAAAAATCCCGCATGCCAATCAACCCACCCAGATTTCGGGCGAGGGTTGAGACCTCCATAAAGCGTGCATTTCGTGATGCAATTTCAAAGACACACCCATGCAGAAGAGAAGTATTTCCCCCCTTTTTTTCTCACTTGGTTTTAACAACAGTTTCACACAAAAACCTAAGAAAACCATCACGCAATACTGGCATCAGAGCCCCATCTTAATCCACAACCCAACACAATGCAAAAAACACCACCAGTAACTATTCAAATTAACACGTTCATATATAATTTTGTTATCTAAGTGGACCAAAACTTTTGTTACTCAAAATCAAGTAAAAAGATTTAAAAAAAAAGAAAGAGTATTTCCTTATGGACCAAAACCTCTTTTCACTGTCCTCATCTGGATCTTCCTGAGGTTATCTAGTTTTATATATTCTATTTTTTTCAGAATGAAGCAGACACGTGCTCAAAAAAAAAAAGGGGGAAAAAACCCTAATATTGAATTGCCTTGCAGAATATCCTCCTCAATCATTTCAAGACTATTGACGGCTGCGTTTGCCATCGCAGATACTTGGCCCGACTTCTGGGACAGAGGCGGCTGCCGCACTGGCCTCCCTGTGGATTCACACCCAGCCACGTCACTTGGGTAGATTTATTCAACTTGCTACCTGGGTGCCAAACTGCAGAAGGGTGGAACAAAACGACACACACACACACCAACACACATACATATTCCTTTTCTGCCCGTTTCCTTGGCTTAAACTTGTTTGCAGAAGGAAACTTTGCAAGCTCAGAGACGGCTTGAGAAGACAAAAGATTCTGCTTTGGGTTTTGCCTTGTGCATTTTATGGAAGACTTGTTTCATCGCCCCGTATTGTTCTTGGGGGAAATTCCTTCTTTTTCTCTGTCCCAAACGTCACCCTCTGGCCTCTGTTGATTTGTCCCGGGCCCTCACGGACGGTGCCGGGTCCACCACCTGCAGCTATGGCCACCCCTTCCTGACGTAGCCGATCCCTGCCTTGGGAAGATGCTCACAGCTATGCATGTACCCCACGCTTCCTCCCTTGGCCACAGAAGAAGCCCCACTGTGACCCACGGGACCCCCAATTTCTCACGATGCCAAATCCCACCTCAAGCCATGCGTTCTCAGCACAGAGAATACCCACAGCCCTGACCTTTGGCTAACCGGGCCAATCTTCTTGGGCCAAAGGTGTCACCTGGCCAGGATCTCTCTCTGTGGGGAGGACCTGGGGAGGCCACGGTGGCAGCGGGCGCTGTTCTTCTTTATGATGAGAACATCCAGGTCTTGTCCAGGAGTGGAAGGAACGGGGCCGAGCCGAGGCTGCCCGCTCACTCGCTCGGAGGCTCTGCATGCGAAGACAATGTTGAGTGAACGGGGGGGACCTGCTGGCTTCACCTGGGCCTTTGTTGCCCCCGCCCTGCCCTGCAGCTTCATCTGAATGCCATGTCATCCCAATGAGTGGCCCTTCATCCCCATGCCACTCGTGCCAGTTCCATACCCGGAGCAGCTCCCCCCTTGTGTGCACCGAAGTCTCTCGGGAGGCTCCCCTCCGCACCCGGCCGGAACCGAGCAGCCCCAGCCAGGCGTTCAGCAGTAGTGTTACCTGGCCCACCAGGGAATCAGAGGAGGACCACAAGGGGGGGGTCACTTGGCCCTGAGTCGGCAAAGGCTCCGGGCTGCTCCCTGTCCGTCTGCCCGGATCCCCTGCCCCCCCCCCCACTTGCAGGGGAGGCTCCCAGCACACCAGCCAAGCAACTTTCTATGCATTCCTTTCTGGAGCCAGAAAGCCCGAGTGATTCCCTGGCTTCATGGGGGTTTTTTCACCGCAAACCCCTCATGGATACCACAAATTCTGACAGTCTCCCTTCACATCTATTCTACTACTGGGATACACACACACGCACGCACACACGGTCAGATATGTCTGTTCCAGGAGAAGACGAAGCAAGGGGGGGGGGGCAGGGCCATCGAGCAGGGAAACCCTGTCGGGAGGGAGGGATGGGGGGGAGGCAGGTCCCCACTTCTGCTGATGTAGATAAGGGGGGGTTGAGGTTTGGGGGCAAGGCAGGAAGTGACGCTGGGGGCCCCCCAGGGGTTCTTGGGGTTAGGGGTTCTTGGCAGAATGCAGTCTGTTTTGTAATTCACGTGAGAACATTTTGGGTCAATGTTGGGTTGCTTTATGCCAAGCGAGGGAGGTTTTGCTGGCAGCCAGTTGTATATGGGGCTGGGGGCTGAATAGATACCTGGCCCTTATACAGGGCATGTGTGGGGGGGCATGGAAGGACCGTGTGCCCAGAGGGGCAGGTGAATTGGCCCCTTTCCTCCTGTTCCCCCTTGTTGTCTCCTGAGTAAGATGGGAAGTTGAAACAACCTTTCCGCCATATTCACCCATGATGAATATATTAAAATATTTCCCCTTTTAAAGAATAAATGTGAATATAAAATCCACCTGATTAAAACTGGAGGGGTAAGGAACCCCTCTCCATATTTAAAAAAGAATAACATTTTTTCATTCCAATAATCTTTTGTCATTCATATATTATGTGTGCGTATATATATATATACACCCTATTTTCCCCCAAATAAGACCTTCCTGAAAATATTGTAACACAGCAGCAGCCATGAGGTGACCACGCTCACCACCTCCTGCACCTCAAAAATAATAAGACCTCCCTGAAAATAAGGCCAAGCGCTTATTTTCTTGGGGGGGGGGTGTCAAAAGAAAATAAGAGCCTGTCTTATTTTGGGGAAAACACGATTATATATATTTTGCCCACCTGTCCTTGTCATTTTTAATGTTGAGAAAGAAAGGAAGAAAGAAAGAAAGAAGGAAAGAAAGAAAGAAAGAAAGAAAGAGAAATTGAGCAGAGTTGCAGACTTTCTCTTGCAAAATCACGATCAATCTTTGATTGGGGGGGGGCAGGGGCTCCTGCATTCTGCTGAAAAGGAGCGCCCTGTGGAAGGCATCCACACATTGAAATCCCCTGCACTTCCTATAAGAAGGGCGTCAGAATAATTTATATATATATATATATATATATATATATATATATATATATATATA